AGGCAAAATACCTCCAACAGGGTGGGCATAATGGCTCATGCCTATGATCCCAGCACATTGGGAGGCCAAGACAGGCAGATGGCCTGAGGTCAGAAGTTCAAGACCAGCCTGGCCAACATGGTGAAACGCTGTCTCTATTAAAAATACAAAAATTAGCTGGGCGCGGTGGCTCAAGCCTGTAATCCCAGCACTTTGGGAGGCCGAGGTGGGTGGATCACGAGGTCGAGAGATCGAGACCATCCTGGTCAACATGGTGAAACCCCGTCTCTACTAAAAATACAAAAAAACTAGCTGGGCGTGGTGGTGCGTGCCTGTAATCCCAGCTACTTAGGAGGCTGAGGCAGGAGAATTGCCTGAACCCAGGAGGCGGAGGTTGTGGTGAGCCGAGATCGAGCCATTGCACTCCAGCCTGGGTAACAAGAGCGAAACTCCATCTCATTAAAAAAAAAAAAAAAAAAAAATACAAAAATTAGCCAGGTGTACTGACAGGTGCCTGTAATCCCAGCTACTCAGGAAGCTGAGGCAGGAGAATTGCCTGAACCTGGGAGGCAGAGGTTGCAGTGAGCCAAGATTGCGCCATTGCACTCCAGCCTGTGGGACAAGAGCAAAACTTAGTCTCAGGAAAATAACAATAATAATAACACCTCCAACAGTTCCTTAAATGGCATAAGTTATAGACCTGAAAACTATAGTCTTCTCTTTTCAGGACATACTCTAGGCTAGGCACAAATGGCTCACACTATAGGGGAGACCTCATCTTTACAAAAACTTAAAAAAATTAGTTGGGTGTGACGGAGTGCACCTGTAGTCAGTCCCAGCTACTCAGGAGGCTGAATTAGAAGAGTTATTTGAGCCTGGGAGGTAGAGGCTACAGTGAACCGTGATCACACTGCTGCATTCCAACCTAGGTCAAACAGTGTGAGACCCTGTCTCAAAATAGACATACTTCAGTTTCCTTACTGGTGGCCCCTCTTAGGATATACTCAAACAAAATTATTAGATGGGGTTTGAATAGAGTATAATGGAATGATGAACACTTCCTCAGTCATGCTGCAGTTAAATTCTCCTAAGACTGGCAAGCAGCCTAAGCCACGTCAATTCAGATAATTCAGATAGCATGCTATCAGTAAAGCTATTGACATGCTACACTGTAGTAATCTAGCTCCAACCTCTGATTGATCAGCAAATGGATTATGAGAGATGTGAGTTAGAGAGTGGGTAAGCAATAATGCTACAGTGCAGCATTATTGCTTACCCACTCTCTAACTCACATCTCTCATAATCCATTTGCTCATTACTTTAATTCTTCCCCTATACTTCAAGATCTGGGAACATGTTTCTGCTAAAACTAATCATGTCTGGCAGCCTAGTTAATTAATTTCTAGAGTCTGAGCCACTAGCAGCTCTCTGTAACAACCATGTGACTGATTACCCAGATCTTGCTAGGTGAACTTCTTTCTATAGGAAACTATCCAACCTCATTATTCCTCCAAGATACTTTCTTAAGCACCCCAAATAAGGAAAATATCAAGATGGTACTGTGACAAATATTTTAGATAAGCAGGAAAAGATACATGTAGGGAGACTTACATGGGTGTCACACCTCTGTCCCACCAAATGAAAGGGTGGAGAACACATGTGTTGAACTAGAAGTGACCAGTCTAAACTAAAAAGGTCAAGCAGGGGCAGGAAGTTGAGTTTTGCAATGAAAGCATTAGCAACCTATGCTTTGGGTTTTGAGCTGAAAAGAAACTGTGTCCAGGGTACTCTGTTTTTATACTTTGCTATTTGTCTTGTCATTTTCCCAACTTTATAGGCTCCTAAAGTATGAAGAAACTTTAAAGTTATCTAATCAAGAGGTCCCAAATGTGGGTCTAAGGGAGTAACACATTTGCTGCATCAGAATCACTTAGGGAAAGTTTTGAAAAAACAGGTATCTTCCCCCTGAAATTTCATACTGTCTTTTGGCACCCCTTCCCCTAAATCAGGACCGAGTAGGCCTAAACTCTGTAGGACACTGTAACATATAACTAAATTTGGGAAGCCATTTGAACCATATTTGAATATCTGCTATGACAGCGAACTTACTCCTTCTAAAATAACATGTTGTATCACTGAAGGGCTGGCTGGGCTTAGTGACTCATGCCTGTAATTCCAGCACTTTGAGAGGCCGAGGTGGGCAGATCACCTGAGGTCGGGAGCTCAAGACCAGCTTGACAAACATGGAGAAACCCCGTCTCTACTAAAAACACAAAATTAGCTGGGTGTCGTGGTACATGCCTGTAATCCCAGCTACTCAGGAGGCTATGGCAGAAGAATCACTTGAACCTGGGAGAGGGAGGTTGCAGTGAGCTGAGATCACACCATTGCCCTCCAGCCTGGGCAACAAGAACAAAACTCTGTTTAAAAAAAAAAAAAGGGAGGGCTTTTAGATTCAGATGGGTTTGAATGTCAGAACTTTGCTTCTTACAAACAGTTCCGTGGCCCTCTCTTTGACCTCCAACTTGTTATGGAAATTTTCAAATATACACAAAGTAGAATAATAGAATAAACACCCAGGTATCCATCATTGGTTTCAACAATTATCAACATAGAGCCAATCTTGTTTCATCTATAAGCCCTCCAACCCAAATATCTCACTTGATTTTATTACATTTCATTTGTAAATGCTACAGTATACATCTCTAAATATGACTCATTTATTTATTTAATTAACTGCAATACCATTATTATACCAAAATAGTTACAATAATTCCTTTTTTTTTTTTTTTTTTTTTTGAGATGGGAGTTTTGCTCTTGCTGCCCAGGCTGGAGTGCAATGGCGCAATCTCGGCTCACCACAACCTCCATCTCCTGAATTCAAGCCATTCTCCTGCCTCAGCCTCCCGAGTAGCTGGGATTACAGGTGCCCACCACCACACCCGGCTAATTTTTGTATTTTTAGCAGAAACAGGGCTTCACCATGTTGGTCAGGCTGGTCTCAAACTTCTGACCTTGTGATCCGCCCGCTTTGGCCTCCCAAAGTGCTAGGATTACAGGTGTGAGCCACCACATCTGGCCAATAATTTCTTTTAACTTCTTCACAACTCAGCTTCCTCAACTGTAAAACAGGGATGGGTCACACTTTGGCCTCACAGGATTCTTGTGAGCTGTCTCAGTGATTAAAAAGAAAAAGAAATGTTGAAGAAGTCTTTGGCTTTAGCCATGGTGGTAAAAAATAATAATAAATAAATAATTTGGTTTGAATACGTACAACATAAAAATCATGTAAGTTCTTGGGTTCCGAATCCCAGTCTTGGAGCTTTGGACAGTAAATAACCCACCTACCCAGAAACCTCAACCTGCTTAAGATAATGACTACATTATATCTAGAATGGTAATGTCAGCTCAGCTGGGATAATCTATTTCTCTTAGTAGGTAAATGACTTTTGAACAATGGGAGGTTCAGAATTTAAGAAATAATTAAATTAATCAAGGTAATTTACAAACATCTGTATTAACTTCAAGAGAATCTATTTATTGTAACTACAATGCATTCATTGTGGGGCTCTGCCTTCTACCAGTGCAAGGGTTGAGACTCAACTCAGCTCCCTACAGAATAAGAGGCTTCCTTTTCTTTGATAGCAAGACTGCAACTTTTCATAGCCCCAGTCGGTCTCCAGGTTCTAGGCAGTTACCCTTCCCAAACAACTATAAATAGCTGACACCTCAAATCCAGACTACATCTCAAATCCTGACTCCAGGCACTAAACACAGAGTTCATTTCTCTCATGAGAAATCTATAAAATGGAGACTCACAGTTGGGGAGTTATCGCCCTATTCGAAATTGACCCAAACATGAATCCAGCAGTGACCTGGGCCCTATAGGATGGGAAGATCAGGGGGATCGGTGCCTTCCCCCCACCACCTCTTTTTTGGAGACAGGGTCTTGCCCTGTCACCCAGGCTGGAGTACAGTGGTGCAGGCTGGAGTACAGTGGAGTACAGTGGAGTACAGTGGAGAGTCACTGAAGTCTCAACCTCCTGGTCTCACATGATCCTCCCACCTGAGTGTCCCAAGTAGCTGGGACCACAGGAGTAGGGCATCATACCTGGCTAATTTTTTTGTAATTTTGGTGGAGACAGGATCTCATTATGTTGCCAGGCTGGTCTCAAACTCCTGGGCTCAACTGATCCTCACTTAGTCTCCCAAAGAGCTGGGATTATAAGCGTGAGCCATCATGCTGTCTAAACCTAAACACCTATTTTTCTTCCTCCCAGACATCTAAATGGTTTTTCAAAGTCAACAATTCAACATAAACCCATTCAAATCATACAAAATCTGTTCCTCCTTCCCCATCTAAATGCTAGTTAACTCCTAATGACAAAATAGTAGTTTGGTACTGATCTAATTAGCGGAATGATATAATTCACACTAAAGTAAGAATGAGGCTTAAACATTCCCAGGATACACAGATACAAGAGCAAAACACAAATCTGCAGTGATATTTCATTCTTCACTTTTAACAATGTAAGCATTTAAAGTGAGAGTCCTTTAAATTACTCTTCTCTCTCTGCAGTTATTTTTTCCTTCATTGATTTATGGTTAAAAACAACAAAACAAAATGTGTGAGAATTTCTATAATGGGGCTAAAAACCAAAATTCTTTACTTCTGTTGAAAAAAATAAAAGGAATAAGGAAGAGAAAGAAGGGATCCTATGTAATGAGAAGACATGGAGAGACAAATTTAAAATATCTTAAATGCCTCTCAGTGACAGCCAGATCGTTCATTAGAGGCTTTTTATTTACAATCCTAGAAAAATATTAATAACAAGCAATTTTTCAATTTGGCCTAATCACATTTAATCTTTTGCCACACAAACAAAGAATCAAAGCACATGTGAGAGCAAAGAAAAACAACATGAAAAATAAAAAATATTCCTTTTTCTTAACAAATTACACACACAAACATGAACTCTGTGTTATTCTAAGTTTGAGAAGTTAGTAAGAAAAGACTATACCTGAGATATATGGCCCTGGACTTTTGCAAGCTGAGTTGTTCGAATATTTAAAGACTGGCTTCTTGTTACAGTTGCCACAGAAAGGGATTTTCCATTCACCTTTCTTTCAAGACGACAATTTGCTGGCGATCTCTCTTCAAGAAGAACAGCATCCCAAGGATCCTTTTCGAGCAAACTTGAAACATTTTTCTCTTCTTCATGGTCTAATACCTCCACATTATCCACTTTAGGCTTACTTAGAGGATCCAAGTCTAACCAGTCAAATTTACTGATATCCTCAGACTTTGGAGATACCTGTAGATTGCTGACTTTTGAATCTGTAATCTCCAAATCAGTCCTTGCTTTCCCATTTTTTAAAAATTCTGATGTACTAGCTATTTTGTCAAATAGTTTTGCCATGTCAGGACTGACTACTGGACGACAGATAGGTAAGCTTCCTTGTGGATGAAAGGGTGTGGCAGGTGTCAAAGGATATGAGAAATATGGAGACTGTCCCGGAAGACTTAAATATATAGGTTCTGTAGATGGAAAAGTGGGCATTCTTGGATTGAAGCCATTCTGGAATGCAGCCTGTTTACTGTATGTAGAAGGATAAATAGAAGGTAAAGCATAAGTGGAAGGCCCAGATAATCCAGGTAGCCACTGTCCTCTCTGAATAGTAGGTCTAAAGTAGAGCTGTGCTGAAAAAGGGCTCAGAACAGGAGTAACTGGCAATACAGGTGTTTTTCTAGTCTCGAAACTGTCATCCAGCAATAGCTTCTCAAGTTCAGCCTGAGTGAGCTTTTCTACATCAATATCTAATGCTCTTTTTTGGGAATCTGATTCGGGAAACACCATGAGATCATAATCCTGTTTGTTATAAACCTGTGCTTTTTGTCTGGTGCTACTTGACAACTCAAAGCCTCTCTGATTGTCAGTAACTTGTCTATCCTTTTGCAGTTTTGCTAAAGCCTCTGCTTCCATCTGTAATGCTTCTTCTTTGTCCACATCTTTTGCTCTTGTTGGTTCCAGATGTGAAGATGGACATTGTTTAACTCCACTGTTGCTGGATATCTGAGCCATGTCCTCTGAAAAGACCAAACCTTTTTTTCCCCAAACTATTTTTTTCTTGTAGTTTCCAAAATAGCAAGACCTATACATAAAAATAAACATAACACTCAATTAGATTTCTAAACATATTTTGTTTGCAACTTACCCCATATGACTTAAGTCTTAAAGCCACTTAGAAAAATATACTATAAAATAAAAAACAGTTGTATGAAATCTTGGTGAAGGAACACAACACCTCATACAGTACTGGGTTACGGAAGATGATCATTACTTTACCCCATTTCCTGATCTAACTGGAAAGCTGGCACAGTAAATGAAATTTAGACGCTTTCATTTTAGCAGCCACAATGGCTGCCATTAACCAGTGGTACTTCTGGGAGAATTCTTAACGTGAAATGACTTAAGTGCTAGTCACATATTTCAAAGAGTTCAGACAGGGTTTACCGTTATGCAAAAATAGAAAGTCAAAATGGTTTTTGAACTTTTGCTATTTGTTAAATTGCTTAAAAGTCAATTAGCAATAAAAACATCCAATACCTAATCAATAAAATAGGAAACTATTATTTTATCAAAATACTTACGTGCAAAACTGATTACAATTTTATAATCCTCCAGAAATATTAAAAATACATAATGTAACATGGATTTAAGTAATAGGACTAGAGTGTTAAGACTATTAGAAGTTCTGAGGTAATCTTCCAATCAAAGATTAAATTATAGCAGAATTGGTCATAATTTTAATTACATTTCTATTCTGATTATCTGCAGTTAAATCAATGGTTATAATACCAAAGTTTCTCCTCTTCAAAATCCTTAAATATTTATATTCATGAAAAGACAAGAAGATAATTTTTAAACTTTCTCATAGATTAGCTTATAAAAATTTATACTCCTCTAAGACACTTAATTCAGACCAAGATTACCCTGTGAAGCAATATAACCAACTGAAAGCTTGCTTAGCTACTCTATATCACAGGGCATGTTTCCTGCTTCTAATCAGTATGATGCAAGGGTGAAACATGGGTCCCTTCCCTGGAGTCACATCACCTTAGTTTAAGAAGGTATATGACCTTGGGCAAATGAAAACTTTTCTGTATGTCTTAGTTTCCTAATTTTTTAAATGATAAAGTATCAATCTAAATTAGTATATAGACTAACTGAAATAATACATGTAAAAGTGCTTTTATTGGCCTTGAGCATAAGCACTAAATAAGTGGTACACATCATTAATCTAATCTGGTTTGTGGTATATCTAATTTAAATACCTAGAAAGAAAGCTCTTGTTTACATTCTATGGCCTTTCTTTCTAGCAAACACAATGCTTATCTACAGTGTATGCTCAAAGTATGTGTGATGCAAGGAGGTAGAGAAAAACCCAAAATGAATTCAAATTAATATAATACAAATGAAAATCCTAAGTGTTGAGGTAATACTAAACAACAACAAAATTGGTGGGTAGGACATGAAGAAAGAGGAATTCAAAGAATGTCCTTGGAATGTTCTTGGATTATTGTTTTGCAATTCCTTCATACAACTATTTTCCCTTCTGTGGTAGACTACAAAGCATGGGCATAATGTATATTTAAAATATGTACACTTTACTGTATATACACTTTATATCAAAAGAAAAAGCTGTAAATACTGAACTATTGCTAAATATGTACAAAGTACTTAGAGGAAAGAACTAATGTCTACCACTTACTTTTGTTGTTGTTGTTTAGAGACTGTGGTCTTACTATGTTACTCAGACTGCTCTTGAACTCCTGGCCTCAAGCAAGCCTCCTGCCTCTGCTAGGATTACAGGCATGATCCACTGTGCCTGGCTCTCCTCCCATTTCAAAACACATACACCCACCACATGGGATGTGATTTTGTTGCTCCTCCCATAAAGAGGAGGGATCTATTTCTTTACTCTCTAGAGCTGAGTGGGCCTTGTGACTTGGCTTTTACCAATAAAATGGAAAGAAGTGACACTGAGAGAAGAGGAGTTCCAAATCTAGGTCCTAAGAGGCTTTACTACTTCAGCTCTTTATCTCTTGAAATGCAGCCACTACCATGTGAATGCTCACGGAGGATAATGGAGGCCAGCTAACAGCCAGCACCAACCATCAAATATGTAAGTGAAGTCACCATCTTAGACCATCCATTCACACACAGTTGTGATGACCAGAACTACATGAGTTCCCAAAGGTGAGACCAGCAGAAGAAACCATCCAGCTGAGCTAAAGCCAAATTGCTAACCCACAGAATCATTTTGGAATGGTGTGCTACGTAACAATAGAAAACAGATAAACTTTTTCTTATTACTTGGAGAAAATAAAATGCAAGCCACTTTACTATTTAGCAAATTTCTGTTTCAACTTCTAGCACCACCACCACCACTGCTACCATCACCTCCACCACTGCTACCACCACCACCACCACCACCACCACCACCACCACCACCACTGCTACCACCACCTCCGCCACTGCCGCCACCACCACCACCACCACCACCAACAACAACAACAACACCACCTTCCTTCACTTATCCTCCAACAACAAATGGTTTTCTTTTCCTTTCTAAGGTGACCTCCTCCAAGTATATCCTTAACCCCACTGAATTCCCCTCCACTTCATTATCAATGATTACCTCCTTTGCACTGTTAATTTATTTACTTGCTTAGGATCCTATGCCACAAAAATACTTATGTTTTCTCCATATTGAAGGGGGGGCAGGGAAATATAAACATTCCTGTTTAGATTCCAGTAGCTTCCATTTTAATTTTCTTTTTTCACTGCCAAACTTCTCCAAAGAGTGACCTAGAAAATCTTTTCTTTACACACTCTGCCTTGGAAAAACTCTACTTGTCCTTCAGGGCCAATTCAAATACTGCCCTCTCTCTTTAGCTTTCCCTAAGCAGCTCTTATCAGAATTCAACTTTCTAGATCAACCAAAACATTTTTATCACAGCTTTCTCTTCTTCCATAGACCTTTTGCTGTTTTTGCCTATTCAACATCTTTGCTTCTGGTTGTAGAATGTACAGCTTCCATTTTGGAGACTGATATCCCTTTATCCCACACAGTTAAAATAGAACTGGCCATCTCTGCCCTTGTCCTCTATCCCCATCCACTCCAGAGGATTCAAATCTGGCCCATCAGAGTAAACTCCCGGACTTCCGCTGAAACTATTTGGAAAGAAAGTTTTTATTTGAGCTTACTAAACTCAGATATAAGCCTGGCCTTGCTGTGGCCATCTTTGTCACTACTTGAGGAGATACTGCCTAAGAATGTGTCCAATCCAGAAGAAAACAGAGCTAAGGTAAAACGAAGAAGGACAGATTCTGGCTAATATTACATCAAGCATCTGGATCCAACCATGCCTAAGGCCAGCCTTTCATTTATATAAGCCAGTAAGTCTCCCTTCTAGCTTAAGCCAGTTTAAAATGAGTTTCTGCCATAACAAAAAATGTCCTGATTCACAAAGAACCTGTGAACCTATGTGTCTACCCAACGAACTAAAATAAGCTTAAGTGCAAAGGCCAACTTGTTCATTTTTGCAGTTCCCTATAACATTTAAAAGTACCTTGCTTAAATGGCAACAAAAGCCAAAATAGACAAATGGGACCTAATCAAACTCCACAGCTTCTGCACGGCAAAAGAAACAGTCAGTAGAGTGAATCGGCAACCAACAGAATGGGAAAAAATTTTTGCAGCCTACCCATCTGACAAGGGGCTGATATCCAGAATTTACAAAGAACTAAAGCAGATCTACAAGAAAAAAACAAACAAGCCCATTCAAAAATGGGCAAAGGACATGAACAGATACTTTACAAAAGAAGACATACAGGAGGCCAACGAACATATGAAAAAATGCTCATCATCACTGGTCATCAGAGAAATGCAAATCCAAACCACACCGAGATACCATCTCACACCAGTTAGAATGGCGATCATTAAAAAATCGGGAAACAACAGATGCTGGAGAGGATGTGGAGAAATAGGAACACTTCTACACTGTTGGTGGGAATGTAAATTAGTTCAACCATTGTGGAGGACAGTGTGGCGATTCCTCAAGGACCTAAAAATAGAAATCCCATTTGACCCAGCAATCCCATTACTGGGTATATATCCAAAGGATTATAAATCATTCTACTACAAGGACACGTGCACACGAATGTTCGTTGCAGCACTGTTTACAATAGCAAAGACCTGGAACCAACCCAAATGCCCAACGATGATAGACTGGATAGGGAAAATGTGGTACATATACACCATGGAATATTACGCAGCCATCAAAAAGGATGAGTTCACGTCCTTTGTAGGGACATGGATGAACCTGGAAACCATCATTCTCAGCAAACTGACACAAGAGCAGAAAATCAAACACCGTATATTCTCACTCATAGGCGGGTGCTGAACAATGAGAACACAAGGGCACAGGGAGGGGAGCACTACACACTGGGGTCCGTTGGGGGGAAATGGGGGAGGGGCAGGGGGTGGGGAAGTGGGAAGAGATAGCATGGGGAGAAATGACAGATACAGGTGAGGGGACGGAAGGCAGCAAAGCACACTGCCATGTGTGTACCTATGCAACAATCTTGCATGTTCATCACATGTACCCCGAAACCTAAAATGCAATAAAATAAAAATAAATAAATAAATAAATAAAAATAAAATAAAATAAAAAATAAAAAAAAGTACCTTGCTTAATGAATAAGAAACTTAATTTACTGAACATGTGGGGTTTTTTTTGTTTGTTTGTTTCAGACAGGATCTCATTCTGTTGTTCAGACTGGAGTGCAGTGTCACCCTCTCGGCTCACTGCAACCTCTGCCTCCTGGATTCAAGCAATTCTCCAATCTCAGCCTCCTGAGTAGCTCGGGCTACCACGGCACACCACCACACCTGGTAAATTTTTGTAATTTTAGTAGAGACTAAAAGGTTTAGTAGAGACTAATAGGGTTTTGCCATGTTGGCCAGGCTGGTCTTGAACTCCTGACCTCAAGTGATCCGCACACCTCAGCCTCCCAAAGTGCTGTAATTACAGGCGTGAGCCACTGTACCTGGCTGAACATGTTTTAACAAGAGGGAGTG